TTGGCAATTAATCTTACATTGGCACTTTCAACAGATTAGCACTAAAGTAAAAGAGAGACCACTCAAAACATTTCGTTCAGGAGATGCTTTTTGTAATCTCAATTACTTGTGTTAAGAGTCTTTCCATCTGGAGAAAAACTGCTACTGTGCAATTGCCTCCATGCAATAATGCCTCTTAAACTTCTGGGTACTCTGAAGAGATATGTGTGCAAAAGGACTGATTTCTATCAAGCTATTTCTCAGAACACAAGTGCACAGATCTTCCTGGACTGTATGACTTCCTTGTCATTTCCCAATATGCTGACTGGATTTTTAATAGTTTGCATATGACAAGGGGCAGAACAGATGACACATGAAAACTGACACGACTTCATACTGATGCAAGGATTCAGCCACCGCCCCCCGTACGTCTTTCTATGAATGTGAATGGACTTCGGATGAGGACCCTCAGAGATCCTCTCTGAAACAACAAAGAACTGGAGTAAAACATGCAAGCCTAGTCTGTGAAGAGGAAAGATAGTGGGATCCCCTTTTTCCTGAAGTGTCTTCAAGATTGGTTTTATTCGGAGGCGTATGCTGCTTAACATGTGGGAAATCACTTGCCGGAACTCCCACATACATGTTTACATTCTGCCCCTTCTAGCCAGGTGTTGCTACCTGTCCACCCCAAACAGTGTTTTCTTTTGTGAACAGTTCATGTGAACTGAAAAACAGCACAAGCCGGCATGTATTTTTAAAAAGATTTGTTTGAGATGGGTGGTAATATCAACGTCAGTATTAGCCCTGTTCTATTATTACTAGCAGCAAATTACAAGTACCTCCTTTCACAAGGAATTTAAGAGAATCTCTTGCTGATCTCACACTTTGCTTCACCTTCTGGTAAGGTAACAGCAAGGTTAATTCACTGAATGATTTAGAACTGTCCCACCTGAAAATTAAGAAATAATAGGAAGGTGAACTTCTTAACGTACACAAACTTGCTCTAATGTAAAGCATCTCCAGCCTTCACAGACAGTAATAAACTCATTCACCCTTCCTTTCTTACTCTGTCTTTGTCCCTCATCAAGTGCAAAAACATCTATACTGCATGATGCAAACATGTTGTGTAAAATCACCTCCACTAAAAAAACAGTTTGCTCTGCTTTTTAGATTTCATTTCATAACTAGAGACTTGCCAGAAGATGTAACATTTCAGGACAACATGCACAGCAAGAAACATACACAAGTTTTAGGAATATGAAGTGACACTTTATTTCTGGAAACAAGAACAACTTTTCTACTCTCAGTTTCCTGCACTGGCCCTCAACTCTCTGCAGCAAAAATCATTCTAAAGCAAGCGGTCTTCTTCTGAAAGTTAAGAAATGCTGCTACGAAGGAAGTAATCAGAGTTGTTACTGTGAGAGGCAGGTTCTTTCTTCCTCAGAGAAACATGTCCTTGGCTCCTAATTCCTGTTCACTTGATCCCTGCTTCCAAGGAGGAAAATGACTGCTTTTTCCCTCTTCTAAGCACTGATTACATCAATAAATGGCTCCTTAGTGCTAGACCAATAGTCCCAACATCTGGTCACTACACCTTCTCTGCTTTCCACGCTAAACCAGAAACCTCCTCAAAGGACTGGTAGTATTTCCCAATGCTGGATGCAGGCTAGACTTTCATGTCATCTCGGCAGGTCTCACTGTCCACTTCCTCAAGGGAAGCAGAGGGGGAGGTGCTGATCTCTCTGTGGTGATGAGCGATAGGACACAAGGAAATGGAATGAAGCTGCATCAGGGGAATCTCAGACTGGACATTACGAAAAGGCTCTTCACTGAGAGGGTGGTTGGTCACTGGAACAGCCTCTCCAGGTCACAGCACCAAGCCTGTCAAAGTTCAAGGAGCATCTGGACAATGCTCTTCTAGTCACATGATTTAGTTTTAGGTAGTCCCGAGAGGAGTGGGACTCAATGATCCTTATGAATCCCTTCCAACCTGAGATATTCTGTGATTCAATCATTCTTTTTTAACATCTCTGGCAGTAAGATGGCAAAGAGTATGAAGACAAAACTCAGGTGAGCAAGACTAGGAGTCTGCTTCTGCTGCTAAATATTACACAGATGTTTCAGTAAGATCACAGTACGCTACATTACTGGTGAATCCGCACCAGGAAGAACTGGTTGTGGATCTGAAGGTCAGGCGCAGCCTTGGCTACAGTGACCAGGAGGCACTGGAGTTCAGGACAGTATCAAAGCAAAAACCAGGAACACAAGCATGGGTTTCAAGAGAGCAGACTTCAGTCTCCTCAGCAGTCTGATTTGAAAAATCCCATGGAATACGGTCCAGGAAAGAGGGTTCCACAAGAGCTGGTTCATATTCAAGGATCACCTCCTCCAAGATCAAGGAAGCTCCATCCCTACAGGAGAAATCAAAGAAAAGCAGCAGGAGACTGGCACAAGAGAGTAAGGCACTCCTAAAAGAATTCAGACATAAAAAGGAAGTGTGTAAGGAGTGGAATCAGGGCAGGTGACCCAGGAGTAGAGAGTCACTGTCTGATCCTGCAGCAATAGCACCAGGAAAGCTGAGGCTGACCTGCAGTTGAATCTGGCAACATTTCTGGATGTGAGGGGGAACGAGAAAGGATTCCAAATGTACCTAAC